CGATTCTGTGCATACAAATGAGCCACTGCTACATGTGCTGTAAGGTATATTACAAAAAGACAAAATATGTTAACATTAGATAATACATTTACTGCAAAGATTCAATAAGGCTTCAATTGGTAGTGAAACTGCAATCCACAAGAGTCAGGTTCGAATTCTGGTTCACTCAAACATAAGTTACCAAACACCAAGCCATACCAATTGTTGCACTGGTAATAGATTGTTGCACCAGGCATGTACTGAATAGACCCATCATTCATCTGAATGGCACCGGTATCATCAGGAATGACAATCATATCACTGGCAAGTCCTAGGATGATCGGATCTAAGACACAGCGGCATTCAGGCTGATACACACACTGGCCGTCTTGTAAAACCTACAAGGATTCAATAAAGAACATTTCAAAATTAAGACAAATCATCAGAAGAGCATCTTTTGACCAGTAAGCTGACAGCTTTTGCCAACAGAACAATAGAGTGAACAAAGAAACCGGTCAGAGGAATAATTCATCTTCGAGTGCTCTATACCAACTAGCTACATATTTACATATTAAGTAGCCATGCCAAATGTTAACATAATGTTCAAGGGTTGCTAGTGAGAACTCGTGTACACAATGTTGTAAGGCCAAATACAAAGATTACAAATGAAAAGGAAAGTACAATTCTACACATAACAATTGATTTTAATGACTGCTTTACCATATTTTCCGGGCAATGACAACCTGCAGTACAGTTCACTGCCACACACTCAGCACCATTCTGTAGATCAGCACAAGTACTTGGACATCGGTTAGCGCATTCGTCTTCAACTAAGCCTTCGTCACAGACTGAAATTAAAAACAAGCTTCACATAATGTCTACAAAATTGAAACTCATTCAAAAGTAACAAAGCAATTACCTTAAACTACTGAGGCAGTTATGTTCATTTGTCTAGCAAATAGTGCAAATTTAAGTAGTTACAAAGGCCACATATATTTCCTGATATCATTTCACGGGGCTGCAACGCACAGAAAGTATGTGTTTAGTAAAAGTTTTAGTAAAATAATCTGGTAAAATAATTAGGCAAGTATTTTTTTTTTTGATTGGCAGATTTTGATCTTATATACCGGCACTCACCAGTGCAAGGTTCTACTCCACATTGCATCGTCTCTACAAACGGTCCCTGGCACTTTTTGCCTCCATACTGAGCGAGGATTGTGACATTACGGTATCTATGTGATGAACCACCGTCGCATGTAGCTGAGCATGAACTCCACTCTGACCAGTCATTGGTCTGGCAATCAACTATAAAACAGTGACCAAAAATAGGAATTATTTAAAGAGAAGTGCCCGACACTCAGAGAGACGTCTAGCCGTGACAAACGAGTTTTTGGAGAAATGAGGCTCAATTCGAGGCTTTAATGAAAGGACATTCAGGTTATATAAACTAATAGTGCACATTGTTGAAGTGTCCTACACTCTCTCACTGTTAAGTGAAATAGCGCCCTCTTCTGTTCATGCACAAAGCCAATAGACAATTGATATTACCTGGACAAGGCTCCGCGTTACATTGACTCTGCTCAGAGCCTATTCCTGGGCATTTCTGGCCACCGTATGCTGCAGAAGGGCAGTCGCAGATACGAGATCGTTCCTTGTACCCCATATCACAATCCTTAGTGCATTGACTCCATGATGTCCAACTGCACCAACCACCGTCAACTACATGCCGAAAAGAAAAACATCATTTCTAAATACCAGCTGCTGGACCGTTATTAGTTTGAGATTAACGAACGGAATATAGGTACATGGAAAGGCAGTGTTTGAACTTTGAGACGATTGACTTTTAATCAGGGATATGCATTTTTAAAACTAATATAATTATCTACTTCAAAATGTATTGATGATATGAATCAAAAGATTGATTGTGCAAAATACTGTCTTTCTCTCAATGTTATTCAACAATTAACAAAAAATTAAGAATGCTCAAAAACAATTCATAGTGTGGCATTAAAATTGTTTTACATAACTATCATAACAGAGTCCATTTCGAAGAGGTAATACTTCTAACTGAACTTACCTGGACACGAGTCTGTGTTACATTCTTCAACCTCTATTCCGTCACCTACGCACCCAACCCCTCCATTACTAGGCGGTGGCATTGAGCATGATCGTGATCTGACAGTGTTTCCCCCATCGCATGTTGCATTGCAGGCCGACCATGGTGACCATGACGACCAGCCACCATCACAGACAATGTCTGTGCAGTGAATTGAGTTGTTCGTACATGTGCTGATGCCAAACAAAATACAAAACAAAAAGAGATGTTAACTATACCAGTAAAGGCCTTACCTAATTTTGATGACAGTTTTATTAAAAGATATTGTTCTCAACAATCATCACAAGTTCAACTTAGTCAATCTTGAAAATTTTCAAATCATGTTCTTTTATTTTCAAAAAGAAAGCAACATCAGTCTGATTAAACCTATTCAACATATATTATGCTGAAAGTTTGTTCTTAAAAATGAGACTTAACAAGTACTTCAACCTAATTTCTTACCAAGTATTGCACAAGTCTTGCATGACTTTCTTTCCATCAGCATATGTATTGTTGCCATACACACAGCCAGTAGGGCATTCATCCGTGTTGCATGCCTGTTCCTCCTCGCCAGACCCATAACATTCAAGACCTCCGTTGGATGCTTGTGGGTTGTTGGGAGATCTGAACATTAAATAAATCATGTCATTCAAGTATGTTAGAACCAAAAAGTTACCAGTCTCCGCACAGCTTCACCGTGAGATAGTAATATCTTCAATTTGACTCCAGGAGTGGTTATTTCAGTGATACTTTGCCAATGTTTTCCCGAGCCCATGTGCATTTCTTTTAGCATGAACACTGGCTTAATGTATACCGATTTTATAAAATGTGAACAAGAAATTTAAGTGTATATTTTGGATCATAACAACAAAATAAATTCAAATCAATAACCTTTTTTTATGTTTTACCTAAATCTGAGCTGGGAGCCTGTGCCACACGTCTTCGAGCAAGTTGTCCATGTAGACCACGAGGACCAACCACAATCGATAGCACATGGTATTTCATCACAGGTGTAACGGCCATTAACACAGGTGCTAAAACACAGATAAAAATAAATATCCAAACTGAACACGAACTTGTTATCCCTGCAGGCTAAAGTAATTTAAAACAATTCAACATACGCATGAGTACACCTGTGCATTCTTTGTTATTGAATTAAAAATAATAAAAAATGCTTGTTAATTGCGGCTGAATGTAACAGGTCTACATCAAGCATACCAGTTACGACAGTCCTCAGTTGTGACGGATCCAGGGGCATGTCTGTTCCCGGACTCATCCCAACAATCACAGTCACTCTGTGCGATACACTGCCCGTCCTGCTCCAGCATATCATCAGGACACCGACAACCAGACTCGCAGGATTCCTCGATGCAGAGTGATCCCACCTGAAGGTCAGCACAGGTCAAAGGGCAACGAGTTGCACAGACGGGATCATAGACGCGGCCAGCTTCACAAGAGGTATCTAAAAACCAATACCCAGAAAATGGATGATGATCACTTTCCAAATAAACCCATCTTTAGCACATGAAACTAATTTTCATTCACTGCGATTTAAAAAATATTATTTAGAGTCTTTAATTGCTTTGTTCCACCACATAATTTCGCTTGTGAGTAGATATAACCCCGGCTAGTGAATTACATCAGTCACATTTTGAAATGGAATAAAAATAGTAAACAAGTACACTTACTGCACGTCTGAGGTTACACACTTTGGTCTCCAGTGCAACTCCTTCACACTCCTTCCCACCATTCTTAGGTGGTGGGTTGCTACAGTTACGATATCTGTACGAGGTACCACCATTACAGGTGACGTCACAGTCAGACCATGAACTCCATGGGGTCCAGTTACCATCAGCTGTTAATAAATATGGAAAAAGAAATACAATCCTTGCATTAGGTTTACTGAAAGTTTAACTCAACAAAATGACAACATTTACCAAAATAAAAAGTACTTTTTATTAAACTTAAGTAGTATCAACAAATCTGGATGGTATTCAAGTTTTCTTTTGTTTTATTGCAGGTTTATGATACGTGACCGCTGACCTATGCCGCATGTTAATGAGCAAGGCGTCCACTCGGTCCATGGGTTTAACGTGCAACCTACTGGAAATGTAGGACAAGAATGACACATAGCAAGACAAGAAATGTCATTAAAGCTGTGTTCAGAAAAATATTGAGAGTGCATGAAAAGTTAGGAAAAGCAATGCAATATGTTTGATTTCCTACATCATAAAGCCTTGTAACGGTTGATTAATCACTTCGTTATCAGTTATATGGTACGGTAAAAAAAATTCGGACAAACACTTTTTAGGACAAACACTTGTAGACTTGAGCATCAATCTGCGAGCCAATGTTTTTTAAGCCGATATTCAGTATAGCAATGTTTATGATAGTGGAGTTCTCTGTACTGCATCATCAAATAATTAACGGCTCACAATACCTGATGGTGTTGATGATGTTATTTTTTTCTTCTGGTGTGGTACTAGCTGGTTGTTGCTCTGTAGTAGTCATATATGATGTCATAGTCTCAGTGAGGGAAAATGATGAAGTATTTGGTGTAACTGTACTGCCTGTAATGTGCGAGAGGAAATAATAAACCCATGAACACCTCGAACAATTGGAATGGTCAAGTAACTGTTATTTTCTTAACAACGTGATATGCTTATCAAAAGTTTAGATCTACTGATTTGTTTTCTAAAGCAAGTAACGTATTGATTATTGGACTCACCACAAACATGTTCATCCGAGCAGTCTGAGCAGTCACACTCTTGATCACATACCGACTGGCCAGAAACACAGGATCCTTCCTTACAAGTAAACTGACCACTGTAGCATGTACTAAGGACAGGTGTGGTCAATTGTGGCGTATATGGGGTGGTCACCTCTTGTACATAGGGTGTTGTCACGGCTGGTATATGTGGAGTGGTCACCCCGGTACATAGGTTGTGGTCACCTCTGCTAAATAAGGTGTTGTCACTGCTGGCACATATGGAGTGGTCACCTCTGGTACATGAGGTGTGGTCACTGCTGGGACGTATGGAGTAGTCACTTTTGGTACATTAAGTGTTGTCACTGCTGGAGCATACGGAGTGGTCTCCTCTGGTACATATGGTGTGGTCACCGCTGGCACATAGGGAGTGGTCACCGCTGGCACATAGGGAGTGGTCACCTCTGGAACATAGGTGTTGTCACTGCCGGAGCATAAGAAGTGGTCACCTCGGGTACATAAGGTGTGGTTACTGATGGCACGTATGGAGTGGTCGCCTCTGGTACATTAGGTGAGATCACTGCTGGCACATAGAGAGTGGTCACCTCCGGTACATAAGGTGTTGACATTGCTGGCCCATACGGAGTAGTCACCACTGGTACATAAGGTGTTGTCACTGCTGGCACATATTGAGTGGTCACCTCTGGTACATTAGGTGTTGTCACGACTGGCACATATGGAGTGGTCACCTCTTTTTATAAGGTGTTGTCACTGCTGGCACATATGGAGTGGACCCTCCGGTACATGAGGTGTTGTCACTGCTGGCACATATGGAGTGGTCACCTCTGGTACATAAGGTGTTGTCACTGCTGGAGCATATGGAGTGGTCACCTCTGGGACGTAAGGTGTGGTCACTGCTGGCACATATGGAGTGGTCACCTCTGGTAAATAAGGTGTGTCACGGCTGACACATATGGAGTGGTCACCTCTGGTACATAAGGTGTTGTAACTGCTGGCACATATGGAGTGGTCACCTCTGGGACGTAAGGTGTGGTCACTGCTGGCACATATGGAGTGGTCACCCTGGTACATGAGGTGTTGTCACTGCTGGAGCATATGGAGTGGTCACTCTGGTACATAGGGTGTTGTCACTTCTGGAACATATGGAGTGATCACCTCTGGGACGTAAGGTGTGGTCACTGCTGGCACATAGGGAGTGGTCACCTCTGGTTCATAGGGTGTTGTCACGGCAGGTATATATAGAGTGGTCACCTCTGGTACATAAGGTGTTGTCAAGGCTAGCACATATGGAGTGGTCACCTCTGGTACATAAGGTGTTGTCACTGCTGGCACATATGGAGTGGTCACCTCTGGTACATAAGGTGTGGTCACTACTGGCACATATGGAGTGGTCACCTCTGGTACATGAGGTGTGGTCACTACTGGCACATAGGGAGTGGTCACCTCTGGGACGTAAGGTGTGGTCACTGCTGGCACATATGGAGTGGTCACCTCTGGTAGATAAGGTGTTGTTATATATGGAATGTTTGGAGTTGTTGGCTTCAAATTGTTGGGTGTTGTAACATATGGAGGCACATAGGTTGCCACTACAGTTGGTGGATGTAATTCTTTCAAGTCAGTGACAGACTTCGTTGGAGGAAATGTTGACGAGGTCTGAAGATAGGAGGAAGGGGAGGTTGGGGATAAAGATGATTGGGTGGTGGACCTCTAACTGTTGTCTGTTCAAGGGGAATAGGTGTTGATGTTCCTGGAATAGTATATTCAGTTGTTTCACGTGTTTCAGAGTGGTAACGGGCATGTTTGATGTGGTTAATTGTACCCTTGGTGTGGTGATCCCAGGAAAATATTGAGATGTCACCTCTGGTACATAAGTCGTGGTCACTGCTGGCAAATATGGAGTGGTCACCTCTGGAACATAAGGTGTGGTCACTGCTGGCAAATATGGAGTGGTCAACCCTGGTACATCAGGTGTTGTCACTACTGGCACATAAGGAGTGGTCACCTCTGGCACATAAGGTGTGGTCACTGCTGGCACATAAGGAGTGGTCACCTCTGGTACATGGGGTGTGGTCAATGCTGGCACATATGGAGTGGTCACCCTGGTACATAAGGTGTTGTCACTGCTGGCAAATATGGAGTGGTCACCCCTGGTACATAAGGTGTTGTCACTGCTGGAGCATACGGAGTGGTCACCTCTGGGACGTAAGGTGTGGTCACTTCTGGCATATATTGAGTGGTCACCTCTGGTACATCAGGTGTTGTCACTTCTGGCACATTGGGAGTGGTCAACTCTGGCACATAAGGTGTCGTAACTGCTGGCACATAAGGAGTGGTCACCTCTGGTACATAGGGTGTGGTCACTGCTGGCACATATGGAGTGGTCACCCCTGGTACATAAGGTGTTGTCACTGCTGGAGCATATGGAGTGGTCACCTCTGGTACATAAGGTGTGGTCACTGCCGTCACATATGGAGTAGTCACCCCTGGTACATAAGGTGTGGTCACTGCTGGCACATATGGAGTGGTCACTGCTGGCACATATGGAGTGGTCACCTCTGGTACATAAGGTGTGGTCACTGCTGGAGCATATGGTGTGGTCACTGCTGGCACATATGGAGTGGTCACCCTGGTACATAAGGTGTTGTCACTGCTGGCACGTATGGAGTGGTCGCCTCTGCTACATAAGGTGTGGTCACTACTGGCACATATTGAGTGGTCACCTCTGGTACATAAGGTGTTGTCACGGCTGGCACATATGGAGTGGTCACCTCTGGTACATAAGGTGTTGTTATATATGGAATGCTTGGAGTTGTTGGCTTCAAAATGTTGGGTGTTGTAACATATGGAGGCACATAGGTTGCCACTACAGTTGGTGGATGTAATTCTTTCAAGTCAGTTACAGACTTCGTTGGAGGAAATGTTGGTGAGGTCTGAAAATAGGAGGAAGGGGAGGCTGGGGATAAAGGTGATTGGGTGGTGGACCTCTTAACTGTTGTCTGTTCAAGGGGAATAGGTGTTGATGTTCCTGGAATAGAATATGCAGTTGTTTGACGTGTTTCAGAAGTGGTGACGGGCACGTTTGGTGTTGTCACTTGTACCCTTGGTGTGGTGACCCCAGGAATATAATGAGTTGTCACCTCTGATACATCAGTCGTGGTCACTGCTTGCACATATAGAGTGGTCACCTCTGGCACATAAGCTGTGGTCCCTGCTGGCCCATATGGAGTGGTCACCTCTGGTACATAAGGTGTTGTCACTGCTGGCACATATGGAGTGGTCACCTCTGCACATATGGAGTGGTCACCTCTGGCACATATGGAGTGGTCACCGCTGGGACATTGGGAGTGGTCCCGCTGGGACATATGGGGTTGTCACCTGTGGTAGATAGGGAGTGGTCACCTCTGGCACATATGGAGTGGTCACCTCTGGCACATATGGAGTGGTCACCTCTGCACATAGGGAGTGGTCACTTCTTGCAGATAGGGAGTGGTCACCTCTGGCAGATAGGGAGTGGTCACCTCTGGTAAATAGGTAGTGGTCACCTCTGGCACATATGGAGTGGTCACCTTGGCACATATGGAGTGGTCACCGCTGGGACATTGGGAGTGGTCACGCTGGGACATATGGGGTTGTCACCTGTGGTAGATAGGGAGTGGTCACCTCTGGCACATATGGAGTGGTCACCTCTGGCACATATGGAGTGGTCACCTTTGGCACATATGGGGTGGTCACCGCTTGGACATTGGGAGTGGTCACCGCTGGGACATATGGGGTTGTCACCTGTCGTAGATAGGGAGTGGTCACCTCTGGCACATATGGAGTGGTCACCTCTGGCACATATGGAGTGGTCACCTCTGGCACATAGGGAGTGGTCACTTCTTGCAGATAGGGAGTGGTCACCTCTGGCAGATAGGGAGTGGTCACCTCTGGTAAATAGGTAGTGGTCACCTCTGGCACATATGGAGTGGTCACCTTTGGCACATATGGAGAGGTCACCGCTGGGACATTGGGAGTGGTCACCGCTGGGACATATGGGGTTGTCACCTGTGGTAGATAGGGAGTGGTCACCTCTGGCACATATGGAGTGGTCACCTCTGGCACATATGGAGTGGTCACCGCTGGGACATTGGGAGTCGTCACCTCTGGCACATAGGGAGTGGTCACTTCTGGTAGATAGGGAGTGGTCACCTCTGGTAAATAGGTAGTGGTCACTACTGGCACATATTGAGTGGTCACCTCTGGTACATAAGGTGTTGTCACGGCTGGCACATATGGAGTGGTCACCTCTGGTACATAAGGTGTTGTTATATATGGAATGCTTGGAGTTGTTGGCTTCAAAATGTTGGGTGTTGTAACATATGGAGGCACATAGGTTGCCACTACAGTTGGTGGATGTAATTCTTTCAAGTCAGTTACAGACTTCGTTGGAGGAAATGTTGGTGAGGTCTGAAAATAGGAGGAAGGGAGGCTGGGGATAAAGGTGATTGGGTGGTGGACCTCTTAACTGTTGTCTGTTCAAGGGGAATAGGTGTTGATGTTCCTGGAATAGAATATGCAGTTGTTTGACGTGTTTCAGAAGTGGTGACGGGCACGTTTGGTGTTGTCACTTGTACCCTTGGTGTGGTGACCCCAGGAATATAATGAGTTGTCACCTCTGATACATATGGAGTGGTCACTGCTTGCACATATAGAGTGGTCACCTCTGGCACATAAGCTGTGGTCCCTGCTGGCCCATATGGAGTGGTCACCTCTGGTACATAAGGTGTTGTCACTGCTGGCACATATGGAGTGGTCACCTCTGGCACATATGGAGTGGTCACCTCTGGCACATATGGAGTGGTCACCGCTGGGACATTGGGAGTGGTCACCGCTGGACATATGGGGTTGTCACCTGTGGTAGATAGGGAGTGGTCACCTCTGGCACATATGGAGTGGTCACCTCTGGCACATATGGAGTGGTCACCTCTGGCACATAGGGAGTGGTCACTTCTTGCAGATAGGGAGTGGTCACCTCTGGCAGATAGGGAGTGGTCACCTCTGGTAAATAGGTAGTGGTCACCTCTGGCACATATGGAGTGGTCACCTTTGGCACATATGGAGTGGTCACCGCTGGGACATTGGGAGTGGTCACCGCTGGGACATATGGGGTTGTCACCTGTGGTAGATAGGGAGTGGTCACCTCTGGCACATATGGAGTGGTCACCTCTGGCACATATGGAGTGGTCACCTTTGGCACATATGGGGTGGTCACCGCTTGGACATTGGGAGTGGTCACCGCTGGACATATGGGGTTGTCACCTGTCGTAGATAGGGAGTGGTCACCTCTGGCACATATGGAGTGGTCACCTCTGGCACATATGGAGTGGTCACCTCTGGCACATAGGGAGTGGTCACTTCTTGCAGATAGGGAGTGGTCACCTCTGGCAGATAGGGAGTGGTCACCTCTGGTAAATAGGTAGTGGTCACCTCTGGCACATATGGAGTGGTCACCTTTGGCACATATGGAGAGGTCACCGCTGGGACATGGGAGTGGTCACCGCTGGGACATATGGGGTTGTCACCTGTGGTAGATAGGGAGTGGTCACCTCTGGCACATATGGAGTGGTCACCTCTGGCACATATGGAGTGGTCACCGCTGGGACATTGGGAGTCGTCCACCTCTGGCACATAGGGAGTGGTCACTTCTGGTAGATAGGGAGTGGTCACCTCTGGTAAATAGGTAGTGGTCACCTCTGGCACATATGGAGTGGTCACCTCTGGCACATATGGAGTGGTCACCGCTGGGACATTGGGAGTGGTCACCGCTGGGACATATGGGGTTGTCACCTGTGGTAGATAGGGAGTGGTCACCTCTGGCACATATGATTGGTCACCCCTGGTACATAAGGTGTTGTCACTGCTGGCACGTATGGAGTGGTCGCCTCTGCTACATAAGGTGTGGTCACTACTGGCACATATTGAGTGGTCACCTCTGGTACATATGGAGTGGTCACCCCTGATACATAAGGTGTTGTCACTGCTTGCACGTATGGAGTGGTCGCCTCTGCTACATAAGGTGTGGTCACTACTGGCACATATTGAGTGGTCATCTCTGGTACATAAGGTGTGGTCACTACTGGCACATATTGAGTGGTCACCTCTGGGACATAAGGTGTTGTCACGGCTGGCACATATGGAGTGGTCACCTCTGGTACATAAGGTGTTGTTATATATGGAATGCTTGGAGTTGTTGGCTTCAAAATGTTGGGTGTTGTAACATATGGAGGCACATAGGTTGCCACTACAGTTGGTGGATGTAATTCTTTCAAGTCAGTGACAGACTCGTTGGAGGAAATGTTGGTAAGGTCTGAAAATAGGAGGAAGGGGAGGTTGGGGATAAAGGTGATTGGGTGGTGGACCTCTTAACTGTTGTCTGTTCAAGGGGAATAGGTGTTGATGTTCCTGGAATAGAATATTCAGTTGTTTCACGTGTTTTTAGAAGTGGTGACGGGCACGTTTGGTGTTGTCACTTGTACCCTTGGTGTGGTGACCCCAGGAATATAATGAGTTGTCACCTCTGATACATCAGTCGTGTCACTGCTTGCACATATGGAGTGGTCACCTCTGGCACATAAGGTGTGGTCACTGCTGGCCATATGGAGTGGTCACCTCTGGTACATAAGGTGTTGTCACTGCTGGCACATATGGAGTGGTCACCACTGGTACATAAGGTGTGGTTACTGCTGGCACATATGGAGTGGTCACCTCTGGCAAATAAGGTGTGGTAACTGCTGGCACATATGTAGTGGTCAACGTCTGGCACGTAAGGTGTGGTCACTGCTGGCAAATATTGAGTGGTCACCTCTTGCAAATAAGGTGTGGTCACTGCTTTATAAGGAGATGTCATTTTGTCGGTTGCGTGGTGGTACTGTGGTACCTAAAAGGTAAAACGAATATAACAAGTTTGAAAACAGTTTTAATTTTACAGCGGAATGTTTGGAATGAAGTATTATCGTCACAGTTGTGTTTGGCGTTCAGTATTCCATACCAAAGATTAGAATCTTGATAAAAAAAAAAACATAGCATGAATGCCAGTGGATAATTTAACATCCTTTTGTTTCTCTAAATTTGATTACTAGGAATAATTGTAAGTGTCTCTTCTAATGTTTTCACTGAAATGTAGATTAAATGATATTTAACTGACCACATCCCTTTTCATCAGAATAATCTCCACAGTCGTTGATGCCATCACACAGTTGACCACCAGGCCCAGCGTTGATGCAGATACCACTGCTACATTGGAACTGACCAGGTGACAGGTAGAAGGTGTGGTTCCACTCGGTGTTGTCACAACGGTAGTAGATGCAGCTGGGGATGTGTAGTCTGTTTTTAAATGAAAATGCTTCATTTATATGATCAATTGTATCTCCTTTGCTATTATGGAGTATTTGAACAAATTTTGATGTTTTCCCAACTATTTGTATATTTACTTCATATTATAAAAATC